ATTTATTTTTTCAATTAAATATATTTATCTAAAAATTTTTATATATAGTTTTATTTTTTACTAAAACAAATTAATTATTATTTATTTGTTATAAGATATTTTTGTTATCTTGTATTTTTATAAAATTTAATTTTGTTTTTATAATTATACTAATCAATTAATAGATTAATTTATTTAACTAAATATATTATTATAATTAATATTCAATAGTTATATAAATTTAATATCTATATATATATATATATAATATTAGAAGTATTATACTTCGTGTATTTAATGTGTAAGAACTACTTGATAAATGAAAATATTTAATTAATTAGATATTCTAATGTTTTATAATTTTTAACAACTATATATATATATACATGTGTGAAAGGTATGGTAGGATTTTAGATTGTAATCTTAGATGAATATTTAAAAATATTTTTAATTATTTTATTTTAATAATATATAAATCTTTGGTTGAATTAGTTAAGTAATTAAATTGTTAGGCGACATGCTAGGGTGCATAGTTAATATAAAAATACAAATTTACGGTACAATATGGTTAAATCCAAAAACTACTTTTTAATAATATAGATTAAATTTGACTCCTTTCAAAATGTGAGAGTATTCTTTTGGTTAAAATTTTCATTTACTGACATTGTATATTTATATTCAATGTATGGGATAACATTTCAACTTCAAAATTTGAGCTTTAGTTTTTAGTGTAAATCATTCAAAATATTTATCAATTTGGTGAAAATTTATTAACTGAAAAATCCATGACAAAGAAAAATAATCAACACAACGCATGAAATCATGAAGAAACACGAGCCAAAAAAAGTCTTATATTTAATCACATAAAACCATCTCAAGTGCTTCACTGAACTAGGGAATGTATTGTTTACAAGTATGGAGCACTTTCACTTGGATTCACAATATCAAATTGAAAAGTTTCACATCCGTTATGTTAAATATTTTTGTTATGGAACTCATAGGTTAGTCGAAATAAAATTAAAAAGCAGTCAAATATTATCGAGTATGAGAATGGTTATGTTTATATATAATGATTGGAAAACAAATTTACAAGAGTAGAATATTATCTGGTATAAAATATTCATGAATCTTTGTTTATTTTATTGTCAATATATCCTTTAAATACATAATTCTTATAATTTTAATTAATATATGGTAACAACGGAATTTTAAAACAACTGTCTTGTTGAAGAGGTTAGAATCTGGATATTATTGTTTGGTCCGATAAATATATCCACCGATATTTTTTTTTCTATTTTAACTTGGTTATGTGTTGACGAAAATAAAAATCGTTACATCTTGGAAGATTATAAAGATAATTTCTCGTTTAAAATTTAATAACTATTGACCGAGATTTTCTTTACTCATATATATTCCTGGAAATAGTGTTACAAAAAAATCCAAGAAGTTGGTATTTGTTTCAATTTGCACTTGAACACAATATATATTGTCTTCTAGATATCATTATTGGCATGTATTCTTTAATAGATGATAGCATTAAATATTTAAAAATTGAACTTTAACAATATTTAAAAAGGAAACTTTGTTTACCACAAATACACTGATACTCGATAGATAAATAAGCACGCTAAATTAATAATTTTCTTTGGTCTCGAGTTGGACCAGTTCAAAATATGACACAAATCAATAAATCAATAAAATAATATTTTTTATAAAATCCTATGTAAAATTATAATTCCACTAAAATCATAAATTAAAAATTTATATAAATTAGGTTTATATAAGTACAAAAAAAATGTATTATTATTTTTACATTCAAGATGAAGTTCATATATATTTTTTCTTAACATTTCAATATATGTTGATAATATTTAGTAAAATTATTCTTAAAACTATATTTAAATTCTATGAAATATACTTTTGTGCACCAAATAGTATAACAAAATGATATAAAAGCCAAATTTATAAAATTCAATTAATATATGATTTTTTGTTATCCTCTTTTAATGACATTGTGTACTTACACTCAATGTACGAGAAACCATTTCAATTTCAAATTTGAGCTTTAATTTTTAGTGTACATCATTCAAAATGTTTATCAATTCGGTGAAAATTTTATATAACTGTAAAATCCATAAAAAAAAAGAAAAAATAATCAATATAACGCATGAAATCATGAAGAAACACGAGCCAAACATTCTTATATTTCATCACATAAAACCATTTCAAGTGCTTCACTGAACTGGTGAGTGTATTGCTTCCAAGTATGGAGCACTTTCACTTGGATTCGCCATATCAAATTGAAAGGTTTCACGTCAGTTATGTTAAAGATTTTTGTTATGGAACTCACAGGTTAGTCGAAAAAAAATTAAAAAGCAGTCGAATATTATCGGGTATGAGAATTGTTATTGTATATTTATAATGATTGGGTGATAAGTTTAAAGGAGCCAGATATTATCATGTATAAAATATTCACAAATCTTTGTTTATTACAATTCAGAATATTTTCTTTTAATTGATATATGGTAACAAACAAAATTTAAAACAACTGTTTTGTTGAAGAGGTTAAAATCTGGATATTATTGTTTGGTCCTATAAATATATCCACCGAGATTTTTTTTCTATTTTTACTTGGTTATGTGTTGACGAAAATAAAAATCTCCAGATCTTGCAAGATTACAAAGATATTTTATCGTTTAAAATTTAATCACTATTGACCGAGAATTTCTTTACTGAGATATATTCCTGAAAATATTATTACAAACATATCCAAGAAGTCGGCATTTGTTTCCATTTTCACTTGAACGCAATATATATTGATTTCTAAATATCATTATTGGAACAATATATATTTTATTCTTTATATATTGTAACAACAAGTATTTTAAAATTGAATTTTAACAATATTTAAAAAGAATACCACGAAGAAAATATAGTGAAACCCTCCCTATAATTGAAAACCTAATAAGAAAAATTGTTAATATAGTTAGATTAAATGTTTATATGTCTTAAAATATATTTTATATACGATAATTGCATAAAGTATACTTGTGTGGTTCATTATGATTGTTATTTTTTATTTAAATTATAATAATTAAAAGAATCTATAAAATACAGTAGAAACTCTATAATAAACACGCTTAATTAATAATTTTTTGGTCTTAAGTTGCGCCGGTTTAAAATATGACACAAGTCGATAAAAAAATAAGACAATCATTTTTAGAAACTGCTATAAAAAAGTATAGTCTCACTAAATCATAAATTAATAATTATATAAATAAGGTTTACATAAGTACAAGACAAAATTGTATTATTTTTTTAACATTTAAAATGAAGATCGTTTCTATTTGTGCTTAACATTCAATATATTTTGATAATATTTAGTAAAATTATATCTAAAACTATATTTTAATTCTATGAAACATATTTTTTGTGCACCAAATAGTATAACAAAACGATATATAAGTCGAATTTCTAAAATTTAATTAATAGATAATTTGGTTAAAAACTCAATTCATTTATAAAACAAATTTTAAATATAAGTAAAATTATTTTTTTGCTGGTTTGGATATTGCAAAATAATTTCATTAATAAAAAATAATTAAACAACTTATATCTAAAACTACATTAAATGATTTGGCTAAAATTCAATTCATTTATGAAACAAATCTAAAAAATCAGTAAAAATATTTTTTTGCGATTTTAGATACTGCAAAATAATTTCATTTAATATAAAAGTAATTAAAGTAATGATTATTTTATTAAATTTCATAAATACAAAATTGAATTCATTCAACTTAATAAATATTTATTATTAGAGTCTTTTTATTATTTTATTTTTATTCTTAAGAGTTAATAGTTATTAATGAGAGATTATGTTTGGTTTACTGACACAAAAAATTCTTATAAAAATAAAATGTTAATGTCAATAATTTGACATTAAATATTTTTATAATTTTAAATTATCAAATAAATATATATTACACAATTAATCAAACCAATTACAGAGATTTTTTTAAATATTTATAACAAACATGTTAAAATAATCTAAAAACAAAATTAAGTAATAAATAATTTTCATATTTAATATGAATACAAATAGTATAATTATATAATTTTTAAATCCACTAAAATTAAAATTTTTAAACTTTATTTATAAAAATATTAAAATATATTAATTTGTAAATTAGATTTTGTTAAAAGTATTTCTGTCAAAATCTAGTAGCTATTATTACCAATAGAGTAAATGATAATGTAAGTCCCAAACGATGCTAGCTCATGTACAAAGTGATGTTAAAATATGTAATCACAAAGTTAATAAACAAATTTATACATGTATGTATGTATGTATGTAGTATGTATATATGTATGTATATATGTATGTATGTATGTATGTATGTATGTATGTATGTGTGTGTGTATGTATGTATGTATGTATGTATGTATCTATGTATGTATACCTTAGTATATAATTGTAAACACGAATCTCTTGATTTATTCTTTTAAGTTGGATTTTATTCATCGAAGTAAATTAGAAGTTTATTACCAATTTAATTTTGAATTAAATATCATTTACGTTGCTGGTCTAATAATATGGTAGTCCTGATTACTTGGATATCTACACATGTAATATTGTGTATGTATATACGATTCTACAACACATCATATGCACTTCTACTTGGTTTAACTATAAGAAAAATGTTCAAACTTGTTCATATAGTCAAACATTATGGGGAAAATATTACCTTCCCTATTCTGCAGATTTTCTAGACCAACCAATAAGACACATGATAAAAGGAGAAAGTATCTTTGGATTGAAATCTTCTTTATTTAGAAAGATTTTATATCTATTTTACCTTAAATCTGTATTTTTCATTTAAAACCTCTCTATATTTTGTTGTAACCTCTTTGTGGACTAGACCAAGTCATAATATCAAAGTTAGAAACTCTATATAACAATATACCCATCTGGTTCCTAAAACACACACAAACCCTCACCTCCTTCTCATCTTTTCATCACCATGGGAAGAAGAAAAGTTACACACCAATTGATTTCTGACAAGTCCACTCGCCGAGTTACGTTCAGAAAACGCAAAGAAGGCATACTGAAGAAGATCAATGAACTAACCATTCTTTGCGGTCTACGCGCTTGCGCCATCATCTACAGCGATTACAAGGATGGTCCTGAGGTTTGGCCAAACCGTAAAGAGGTTCGTACTCTTCTAAATCGGTTGAAGGCACTCCCAAAGGATAAGCAGACCAAATACATGATGGACCAGAAGGATCTAATGACCAAGATGATCCAAGACGCAAAGAAGAAGTTGGAGAAAGAGCAGATGCATAGCCGTGCGATGGAACTTGGGATGATTGCTGCGTTTAGTGATATACATGATGCTGATTATTCAGAGGATCTGATCAAAGCAGCCGATGTGGTTGAGAAGAGGATCGATGTAATCAGAGAGAGGATCGAGGCTTTGGAGTAGCCTTGGTCATGAGAGACTAGAGGCGTTCAAAAAGTTTCTTATCTTTTCTTGTTATGGATTTTTAATTGTTTACAATAAAAAAAGTGGTTAAGATATCATGTGCTGGAAATTATGTTGTATGATTTGTTTTAAGAGTCTTAAGAGAATGATATAAATCACTTTGGTCTTCTTGGTATTTCAATCAGACTAGCCTCAATGGACAACAATAACGACATGATGCACTCGGTTTATGACCAAACTTGGTTTTGATATTTAGGAAGATTTTCTTCCTTTTTTGCTATTTTATTTTTATTTTTATTTTTTATCTCTATATTTTCCACTCGACCAATGCTGTGGAATCATCATGTATTAATAATTTTTATTGTTCACTAACTGCAATTGTACGAGATAAGAATCATGGAGTAAGATCCTCATTTTCCGAAGGGATCAAAGAGAGTATTTCTGAAGTCTACGCTCCCTTAGAGGTAACGATTTGTACCTGTATAAGTTTGTTGAGAAGATTGATTCTTAGGCTTAAGATTTTGTAAATCTCTCCATGTACAGTCTCCTTTCAATATCTGAAGGGATAAATATTCGTAAATAAGCATCAAAATACATTATTATTCTCACATGTGATATGTAACACAAGCATCAAACCAATCATCTACAAAAACAACTAACATAACGGTTGCTCGATCCCCAATCAGTGAGGCTGGGTCGATGGCTAAGATACACAAAGTGCCAAATGAGAAACACTAGAGTTAGTAAATTTAGTCGCCACGAGTACGTATTTAACCTATCGTCGTCACCCTACGGTTCACCGCATCCTCTTTCATCTTCTCTCTAACCTTCATTCCCACAGGTTCGAGTCGCTACATCACTGGAATGTGACTCTGATGTGGTACTCTTCCTTCTTTCTTCTTTCTTTTCCACTTTTATCCGCTCTAACATTGCATGTTTAACACAACACATAAAATCAATATTAGACTGCATAAACTTGAAATTGATTTACATTTATAAGTAAACCTATACTTTTAGGCCTTTCATAAACCAAATAACCTTGATTGCTCGTGGCTCAACAAATGACGCATTAACTTCCACCATGAATATCAAGGACAAGAGGTTAACGGCCTGCCACATCTCCACCGCATCGGTAATAACCTTGGCTGATGACCAATAGCGGCTTTGGGTAAAAGCATAAGCATGTGCTTCCAGCTTTGTTGAAATATCTAAAACATTTGGTCAATTTTTTTTAATATTTTTAATAGCTCAGCTTGTTAATGCTGTTGTTGGCACTATGAGAGGTGAATGGTTCAAACATGGTTAACAACATAATTAACTTTTTAATACTATTATTTATTTAATTAATAGGTCCATGTTTTTCTAATGCTTCCGACTCAAACATTTTCAGGGCCAGACCTGCTGATGACGTGTCCTAGCAACCCAACCATAATCCCTACGAGATTACCTTGAAGTACGCGGAATACACCTTGCTTAGCGCCACACCGAATTGATGCCTCCCAAATACGATGCCAACAAGTATGCATGGCGTTCGGATATCCGTTCAGATTCGGATCTGGTATTTCGATTGGGTATGGGTTCGGATTGTTTGTTTTGATGTGCAATCAGATCATAGACTGTAAATTACATGTTATTTTTTGTTTTGCTATCATGCTACTGATCACTCGACTAGTCTCAAGTCGCTTATTCTAAATTGATGAAAAAATAGCATCTGAAAAGTAAAAAAAACTACAACATGCGATTAGTCAAAGGTCTTAACTCTCAGGTACCAGCGAAAGAAAAAAAAAACAACATTTGATAATATTTATCGCAGATCATAGTCGTAAGTCGCATATCACAAGAACCTATGAAAACGAAACAAATAATATTTGGTCGCAGATCTATGTGATATGAACTAAAAAGGAAAAACTGACACAATAAAATTGACATATTTTTCACATGATGTATATCAAAATAGTTTTTTTTTTCTAAGTTAACACTTCAATGTGTGTAGGATCAGTATTTTCAATAGTTCATAATCATTCTGTTTTTAATCCGGAAATGTCTTCAATCATTTAGTTTTGGACTGTTGGGGTAATGTGATAGCACCCAAAGGGGATTCTATTCGAATATATCTATATTTTTGCAAATTTGGGGTTTGAATGTGAGATTTTTTTTTTTTTTTTGCAATTAGTAAGGTTGGGCCTCGCATCAAGATCCACCCAGAGGCTAAACCAACCTAACGACCGCGTAGGATATATAGTAGGACATATTTTTAATTAATTTTTTCATATTAAATTTTTTTGTAGTATTTATATGTAAATATAATTTATAGTTGTTTGCTAATAGTAATATATTTGTAAAAATAATTATCTATGTTTATTAAACTTTTCCAAAGAAATATATTAAATCAGTGTATTGTTAAATAATAATTATTTTAAAAATAAGAAATTTTGTATTGATAAATTATTTTACAAAAATTATAACCGACTAAGTGAAATGTTTATGATAACATTAACTAATATTTTAATGCAGTTAACTTAATGTAATAATGTTTTCTGGTCATTAGCGAAATTCAATTAGTTTATAAAGTTTACATTGATTTATATTATGATTATATTTATTATTAGATCAAATAAAAAAACATGTTGATGATACTACATTAATCAGTTTTTGGTTTCATGCCTACTTGGTTTGGGTGAGTCAGGACTCAGGCTATAGCTTTTGTTTAGTTTTCTTTCTTCTTTGTTTATTTTATTTTTACATTTCTTTTTCTAAGTAACTCTGTACTTTAAAATCAAAACAAAAATATTTAATATGAAATTTTTTTAAAAACGTTTGCTGAATATATTCAAAAAACTGGATCGGCACTGCCTGGAAGTGACGGCCTAATGATACCTAATACGTATTAAGAAAGAAAAAGCCGGTGAAATATACGGAATGTCCCGTTGGAGCCTACTGCTGAACAAAAAGGCTAGGATTGTAGACTCATAACTCTTATGATCGTTCTTAATTATTCATAGCTTATAAATCACTAGCTTATTCCACTCGAGCTCCTGAAGTTCAGCGCTTAGAATCACATCAACTGTGTTTACAAATCTACTTTATTAGATTAGTCGTCTTGTGAAGTTTTTTTATTTATCTTTTTGGGTTTGTGCAAGTAAATTGACTTCTTGAAGCATCTTAGATTTCAAGTCTTAACACTTGTAATCTTCTGTTCTTTTACTATTTACTTTTCTAGCAAAAATAATAATTATCCATATCTTATGACTGCCGCAAAACATTGAATAGTGGACGTTAGAATGTTTTAACTGAACAGTGTAAAACATTGAACAGCGGTTAGATGTCGAACACCTCAGAAGAAGTGTCAGATTGAAGATTTTTTACAAAAAAGGAAATTATTATATCTCAACAAAAATAGCTGACTTTTAGTTCTATTTGGTGGACTGATAGATTGGTCCCAAATGTCAAAATCTTTATCAATTTCTTAGATGAATTTTCACAATGCTTTCGATTATAATTGATTAAGGTATATCGAGCTTGTTTTAATAAATCTGTAATTCGTTCTTTGTTGTTGTCTTAAAACAAAAAGCCGTCGTCAAAGTAAATTATTGGTGCTATAGCCAAAATTTATGTCCTTTGGAAATTGAGAAAATCCGAATTAAAACAGGTGAAAAGAAACACAAAGGGTTGTTGCTAGTAGACTCTAGTAAGTTATGTTTACTTTAGCTGTGTAACGTTGTAAAATTCATCTCTATATTGTAATGACTTTAGTATCTTTAGTAATGAGTTTAGTATATTAACAGTTTAGTATATTAACAGTTTATATATTAACAGTTTATTAATTACATAAGAAAATATAATTAATAAACAATTGTTGCGTAATAGTTTTTTTATATATAACTGGACCGACACTGGTAGAACTGCGTTGTGACATTCGAAAATGGTTTTTGAAGATCACAACACAAGAGTAGAAGACCAAGAAGAGACAGAAATACACATGCACCAACCCAAATAATTCAGTTATCCAACTAATGTGAAAGAAATATAAAAAAGGATAGAGATAGAGTGTGGGGATATTATCATAGGAGAGGAAAGGACACGTGGGAGAACATGTGAGAAGTAGCGTGTTGAGAGAGTGATGGGAGGAACGAGTTGAAGTTGGAGTATTGAGATTGAAAAAGACAGCTACACCTACTCATCTTCCCAATCTACCTACTTTCTCCCAGATCTACTCTCTTTCTTCCTTTCTTCTATTTTTATCTTACACACAAAATAAATAAATAAAACATCTCTGGTATATTTCATGCTCAGCTAAGGTTATTTAAATGATGCAGCAAGAACTGCACAGTTAAATGGTTAAAAATAGCAAATCTACTCTATATTTGTTACACACAGAAGAAGTAGAAATCCTTGTCATGTTAGGTGACAAAAATGATGCAGTAAGTATTGTTAAAATAGTTAAAAATAGGGACGACCAAATAAAGATGTCAGTGAATTTTTTTTTTTTTTTTTGTAAATGATCAATCAATCATATGTCTGAGAAATTGTAAAAACAATATGATGTTTTCTCAGAGCAGAAAAGTCAATAACTAAACCGTACGATTAATTAGTGAGAAAGTTAGGAAACTCTCACGTTCCTCCTGTGAGTGTTCCATCAATTTTAAATTTTTTTTTTTTAAACTGGTTGTTACAAATTTCTAACATTTTTGTTTTCTCATTTGTGACCATATTTTTGGTGATAAGTTTGGTAGTAAAATATAGGTTGTTAGTTATTATAAATAGCATTCAAAACGAAACATCCTATAGGAACTCTCTTTCCTTGCTTGCAAAATAAACACAACCCAAATCCTCTTCCCAGCACATACACATAGAGATCAAAGATAAGAAGTCATTAAAAAAAGAGAGAGAGAGAGAGATGGGAAGGTCACCATGCTGCGAGAAAGCTCACATGAACAAAGGAGCTTGGACTAAAGATGAAGATCAGCTTCTCGTTGATTACATCCGCAAACACGGCGAAGGTTGCTGGCGTTCTCTCCCTCGAGCCGCTGGTAACATATTTACATATTCATCTATCTTTCTGCATGTATATTATATATATAGAAGGCTGTTTTGATTGAAACTTGTGAAATTTTGACAGGATTACAAAGATGTGGTAAGAGTTGTAGGTTGAGATGGATGAATTATTTAAGACCAGATCTCAAGAGAGGTAACTTCGTTGAGGAAGAAGACGAACTCATCATCAAACTCCATAGCTTATTCGGTAACAAGTAAGTCTCCCCTCCCTCTCTCTCAAAAAAAAACGTGTGAATTTTACTAATAAGTTTGGGGGAATATTAACTTTTTTTGTAGATGGTCGTTGATTGCTGGGAGGTTACCAGGAAGAACAGACAACGAGATCAAAAACTATTGGAACACTCACATCAAGAGGAAGCTTCTCAGCCGTGGGATCGACCCTAACACCCACCGTCCCATCAAAGGATCGCCAACTCCTCCTTCAAAGCCAACGTTTCTAAAAAACGAGGAGCCGGTACAATTCGGTTTAGCCGGACCGGATCAACAACAGAAGGTTAAACCGGAACCGTTGGTGCTAGATCGAGAAGAGGGTAGTAATAATATAGATAATTGCACGAGCAGCGGAACGACGTCGGAGAAGGATATTCAGACGGGTGACGATTGGGTACTCAATTTGGAACTCTCTGTTGGTCCAAATTGGTATGAGACTACTCGAAAAGCGAAACCTGACTCGAGAGAATCGACTAAACGGTGGAGTTTTGAGTTGTTAGGGGCTCAGACTGGGGTGTGTTTGTGTTGTCGGATAGGGTTTCATAACGAGTCGTGTCGGAATTGTCGTACTTCCGATGTTTTAACAACCACTTGGGAATCGACAATTCTTTAAGAATCTTTTAATTTGTATTTTTTTTTTCTTTTACTTCTTGTAATGATGCATTAAGTAAGAACATAGGATTGATTATCAAATGGGACAGAGATTAATTATATTACTAATCTAGTACTTATCATTATCGGTTATCCGATCAAATCCAAATTACTGAAATAGATTTTATAATTTATTTCAACCTTTTACGTGACTGAGTCACACAAAAGCAGAGCAATTACGCAGTCTTTGATGGAGACATGAAACCATACCTAAATGTTTGGTGTAGTGTCACCGATTTTCTTATAATAATTTATTATTATGCTTTTTGTTATTGGCATCTTTCTCTCTCAATTTTATGATTTTAACAGATTATCCCACTCACTTTCAGTATTTCAAATAACCAACCCTGGCTTTCGGTGTATCAGAAATTTAGACAAAATAATGAAACGTGACATAAACAGAAAAGAATCTCTTTGCAGAAAAAAAATATATAAAAAGATCGATGACGCCCATAAACATATCGAATTACATTATTAAATATCAACTTACATCCCTTAGTTTAATTTCCTAGATAATCAGAAACTATATAGTCAACGTGGCTTTCACTTCGTTTATTTAATAGAGGAAGAATGATGAGTCATATAAGCTAATGACATATTTGCATTTTTTTGTTACGGAAACATATTCGAAATTAATAGCTAGATATTAACAAAATACTAGTTTCGAGGGTCTTTCTTTGAAAACTAACTAAGATTTTCGTTACGTAATGGACATCAACACTAACAACACATGAATGGATCCTTACTCAGCAACTAAAAAATATCGAAATACACACATTAAACTTTTACGAGAAGCACGTTATCCTTATTAAAAAAAATGAAGGTTATTGTAGTGGTTGTTATGATTAGAACTTATATTAGTAAACAAATAAGCATCACCATTATCTTAATCTTTTAGAGTGGACTGTGGACATCATGGAACGTGCCAGCTCCAATCTGGTTCCAGCATGTGGTTTTCTTCAAAACATTTTTATTAAAAAGAAAGTGATATACTGAAATCGAAGTTTAGGCTCTTTTAGGTAGAATCTCACCTAAAAGGTCGTCCCAGACCAATAATACCGAATTATCATGTGCATCTAGAGACAAAATCTTATTTATATCCTTTTTATTTGGAGACTCTTTTACTTGTAACATGGAAAGCCTTTTTCTGCAATGGTGGCCTTAAACTTTTTCATACATAGTTATACGGAAATAGAAAATAAAAGTAGCATTCTGGTAAAGAAACAAACCAACCAGTATATTGAGAGTTAATGACCAAAACATATACTATTTGATTTTATTTACAAAAGAAATAAAACCAAAATAAAAGTGGGTAAATTCGTATATATGTTTAAATACGCGGGAGCAGATGTACTGACTTTTATATATTTGTGTATTAATACATTTAAATCTCTTTCACAATTTTCATTTTATAAAGAAAATATCATATATTTCTAATATTTTAATGAATTCTACCTTGCAAATATGGATATATACTTAATTATTTTAATATTTTAATTCAATAACGTTTAAAATATTGTATTTGGAGTGACTTTTTCGTTTTTGAACAGTGGTATCAACAAAATTTCCAATATTTTTTTTTTTAAAACAAGAAACAAATCTAAAAAACAATTCTAAACAATTTTCCTATCTAATAAAAACTTAATTTCTTAGAAAAATGTAAGCTATGATGATTTACTATTAAGAGTATTTATTGTATATTTTAGATTTTTGAATTCTGAGTAAAATGATACAATTTGTAAAAATAAAGTGAGTAATTTTTATGGAAAAAAATTCCATTTTTCTTTTAAAAAAAAACTCCAAGAGGCCAAAGTCTGGAATATAAGCAGGTGAGATGGGGTAGAAGACAGATAAAAGCAACATGTGAGATGTTGGGTGGTAGGTAACCGAATCTATGATCAATGAATAATGAAAAAGGGAAATTTATAATGAAATGTGGCATATAACAAGAACAGTAATAAAATATGGAATATTAATGATAGTACGAGTTAAGAGGAGAAAGTGATGGTGTTGCACATGCAGTTAGCTAGCTTGTTCGCATCATCTTTAGCCAGCCATGCAGTGGTCTATCTCCCTTATATTTTAATGTATCATCAATTCTTACGTAAACGTCGTACATGCATGTATACATATATTGCGTAAAAAGTGTCATCCCCTTGTTGATTGATTATGTTGAAGCCTTAAAGGGATCCGGTTAAAATTGCAGCACCCGGATCACCCCTTAATTACTGTTAAAAAAATATTAATATTAGTTAGTAATAGTTGAGAACTTTTGTCACTCTTAAATTCTTTTGGTTAAATTGTGAATTTGCTGCGAACCTACGTGATTTGATTGAATACTTATTCAAGATAGGTCTGGATAAAGTTGGGTCACCAGACTTTGAGTAAAGAAATAATCGAAACTAAAAATTAAATAAGGCGGGCGGCACCCACCTGACAAAACTAACCGACTCTATTGCATGGCTGAGACTCTCTCTATCTCTCCCTCCCTTTTCATGTCAGAATGGTCCATGCCTCCATGTTATTTTCAATTCTTACATGATTTTATGAATTTTGTTTTGTCCATATATTTTCCAGAGTAAACTAAATTTCGAACGGATAAATCTTTTTTAGCAAAAAAAAAAAAAAACGGAGAAACCTTTCATGATCTAATATTCTACCTGAACATGTACAATTTATATAAGAAAGAATGATTACCTCACATTTTCAACTATTTCCACCTGTGTAACTAAGTACTAAATAATTTTGAACAACTATATGTTTCATGGCTAATTACAACTAAGGCCCAAAAGTTTATACTTTGCAGAACCAAAACCTAGATACAAGTTACAAAAAATTTAAACTTAAAAAAAATATATTGATACAAGTGATAATTAAGCGGTGGAATTATATAATATACAACCGAATATTATGAATGTTTGTACAGTTGTACATGTTTTTGCCTGTCAAGTACGTAATCATCAAGGAGGGGATTGGCTTTCATTCTTTCTCGGTATTTAAGACACAGTTCCTTAGTTGTCACGTAAAGTCTTCAACCGTATATTAAAATAGTATTGCTACCTATCTTAAAAAAAATACAACAATACCATTACGTAAGATCAAACCCTTCACTAATACAGTTTTATCGGGCTTTACGTTTGAAAATATAAACTACGCAAAGGTTATACAATTGGACCTTTATTGGGCTTAATAATTACTCTTTGACTTATACGGATCCAATCTGGCCCATAAACTCCATTTCTTCCCCTAAAACGCCGCAGATAAGAAAAAAACGCGCCGCTAAAAAAAAAATACAATGAGACTGTCTCTTCCAATAAACACTATTATAAACCTGCAGAGACCCCTCCCTCTAATCCCTCCTCGCCGTTTCTCAACCGTCGCGTTTCGTACTCCATCGCTCCTTCCCGTCTCCGGCGTCGCTTCTCGTAATCCGTGCCGTTACTGGCTCTCGACGATGACGACGGAGGAGAAGCAATCAAAACTCGAATTGAAGGAGAAGATCGATATCACTGAGAAAGAGAAGGAGATTTTCGATCGGCTGCTCGGTACTCTCCGGTTCTGCAACCTCGACACGCAGCTACGAGTCGCCGGCGGTTGGGTGCGCGATAAGGTACGATCAGTTAGCTGTTAGATTCGGTTAGATAGAATGATGATAATTAGGTTTTTTGTTTTTGCAGCTTCTAGGGAAAGATAGTGATGATATTGACATAGCGATTGATAATATGTATGGGAGTGAGTTTCTTGATAAGCTCAAGGAGTATTTAGCTTCTAGAGGGGAACAAGTTCAAGGCGACACTGTTATTGAAAGGTCTTTTTTAACATTTGGAATCTATTCTCATTTTAAGCTTTATATAGTTGTTGATGTAATCTTGTTGGTCTTTTTATCAGGAATCCTGAGCAGTCGAAACATTTGGAGACGGCGAAGATGCGGATTTATAACCAGTGGATAGATTTTGTTAACTTGAGAAGTGAAGAGTATACAGAGAATAGTCGTATTCCTACAATGGTATTGCTCGTTATTTATTTCGTACGAGTTGTGCAATGGGAGGAACGTAACTGTTTGTGTTGCTTAGTTTTGAGTTCTTATTTGTTCGATTTATTACAGAAATTTGGTACCGCGAAAGAGGATGCTTACAGGAGAGACTTAACCATTAATAGGTACTCTTATCTTCGTCAAGAACAAAAATAGAATAGCTATTACTCTGTACCACTGTATGTGACTGTGACTTGTTTTATGATTTCTTATATTTGACAGCTTGTTCTACAACATTAACACTGGCTCAATAGAAGATCTTACGGAAAGAGGTTAGTGCATCATAGTTTTGCCAGAAATGAATCCCTGTGATGTTCAAATTAGTAGTTTACATGGAACTGATAAAATCACAGGCATCGATGATCTTAAGTCCGGACGAATTGTTACACCGTTACCTGCAAAATCTACATTCCTTGATGATCCTTTGCGGGTTCTCCGGGCTATTCGCTTTGGTACTTTTGCTATATTTTAAAATTTTATGTCATTACAGTGCCCATATGAGATCTTTCGTTTGAGCTCCATAGTTGTCTGTTTTGTAAATCTACTGCCATAACAGGCGCAAGGTTTGGTTTTACGCTGGATGAAGAACTAAAACAAGCTGCTTCGTGTGAGGAAGTAAGGGTAGCACTTGGCGAAAAAATTAGCAGAGAGCGGATCGGGAATGAAGTATGTATCTAATCTGCCAACCTCTCTTTTTGGGTGTTTATCGTAACGCAACTTGATTTCTTGGTGCAGGTTGATTTGATGATATCTGGGAATGGGCCAGTTTCAGCAGTAACGTATCTTTCTGATCTGAAACTATTTGGTGTTGTATTTGCCTTCCCTTCTTCATCCGAGCCTGCACCATCAGAGAATTGTGGCAGGTTTATCTCAGTTCTACTCTACTTAGCAAATCTGGTTCTGTGACACTGCTATATTTTGCAAAAGCACTAACATGTCTCGCTATTTTAGTCTCTGCAAAGCATATTTGGAAGCTATGTGGAGCCTCATTCAAACACATGGGCTAGGAAACTTCAGCGTGAGTTATTCCCTGTCACAATCACTTCTTGTTTAATTGCTAAAGACGGAGTTCCCCTATCTTTTTGTGTTCAGTTAGATTTTATGTATGGGTGTCTTATTTGTTTTTAGGGGGAACAAAGAAGGCTTGCTCTGTATGCTGCTCTGTTTCTCCCCTTTAGGAAAACAGTCTACAAAGACAATAAGGGCAAATTGGTACTTACGCAGTTGAACTCTTGTCATCTTTTCTTGGATTAAACAGGTCTGTGTTTGGATATCATATCTAACAAATTTTGAGCTTTTTTCCAGATCCCTGTTGTCAACCACATATTCAAATTCTCCATGAAGCGGAAGACCAGTGATGCTGAAACGGTGAGCTCTGATTATTAATGTTCAGTATTTTAGGCCTTAATTGCAGTAACAGGGCGATACGTGTGTTGTTTGGTAATAACGGGAAAAATTATCTAACATGGTAAAATTAAAACCTTCATCTATGTTTGCATTACTTCGTTGGTGTGATCTTGTTCAAGAGGAGTGTATCTCGTTTTAGATGCTTTGTTTAAGTTGGACTGCTTTACAGCTTAACAGATTCATGACTAACATAATAATGAAATCCATCTTATTCAGGTTATTAATATACATCGTACCACGGAGAAATTCCTATCGTTGATTTATTCCCTTCAGTTGAAGAGTGGCGCACAACTAGACAAGCTTGATTGGGCCACTGATATTTTTGAGCACTGGAAGTCCATCTCCGTTGATGATCCAGAGATCCCAGAAATTTCAAAAATAAGAGTACTCACAGGTACTCCTCTATAGCCTCTATGGTATTGTATTCTACAAATGGTAGCTTATAACTTCTGATAATTTCTCTGTAAACTACGAGTATTTTATAAACTGTGAATTAGTGAACGCATTAGATCCGACCATATATATGTAACGAAAATGGTTTGTTCTGTTACAATTCCAGGCTTTCTTCTTAGAGATATCAAAGACTTCTGGCGTGTTGCACTCTTAACATCTCTGTTGTTGAGTACGGTTGATGGCATGAAGGAAGATCAAGAAACTGGGAAGCTGGACTTCCAACTGGACAAGCTACGAGAAAGTTATCTAAAAATCGAGGAAACCATTTGTGAATTGGGTAAGCTTAATAAATTGTAGCATCAAAGATAGAAATTTTCCAAGAGGTTAGGCTGTGGCTAGTTACCAAGGCTCCACATACGTAATGGTGTTTATTGCCTTGAACATTACAGGTCTTGATAACATCTGGGATGTAAAGCCTCTGGTGAATGGCAGGGAGATCATGCAAATTGCAGAGCTTAAGGGAGGATACCACATCCGTGAATGGGTAAAAGCAGACTTCCTTTCAGTTATTGATTCTCTTTGCAGTTGAATCATCATTGGTTATCTCTCGTATTCATTATATATATCGTTTGCTAACCTTTGCAGCAACAAAAACTTCTCACATGGCAGCTAGCTTATCCCAATGGCTCCGCAGATGAATGCAAGGATTGGATGAGACAAGTAAAAGCAAAACGACAACGGACAGAATGATAGGACTTTTAGAATCTGGTCCCTTACTATGTCTAGTCTTTTAAGTATACTTTGATCAAATAACATAGGCATTCCATTTCCATCAACATGAAACAAAACAAAGAAAACAAGTTTCATTTTCATATTAACATAAAAATCTCCTTACAAAGAACACACAAAAATAAAGAAACAGAGAGGAGAAGAACGGTTCTTGGTTCGAGTCCGCGACTTGGCCTTCCTGGTCACCGTTTCTTAGACTTAACCGAGACAACGTCTTTATAGAGCTTAACACGATCCTTCAACGCATCTCGTCGAGGCCGAGCCACTTTATTGTTTGGATCAAACAACAAAACCTCTTCAAACGCTTTCAACGCCAAAGGCAGCTCTTTCTTCTGCTCATAAGCATCTCCAAGGTTGTTCCAAGCCGTTACATAACCAGGTTGCAGCTTCACCGCCATTTCGAACTGAGCTATTCCTTTGTCCAGTTTCTCTTCTCTAACATAACTCACTCCAAGAGCGTTATAGACCTGTTGAATTTAACAGTGTCAAATGAGCTCTCTTATCACTTGCTGGGATATAGTGTGAGTGTAAATTTGTATTTACCTGAGCAAGATCTTGATCTTCACCGTCCCATTTCTGGATGGCTTGAAGCAAGAACTTGTTAGCTGCAGGATAAAATTTCCTTCTCAGCATCACTGCACCGAGCTCAAAGAGCTCTGTTGCACTTGCATCCCCGCTCCTAACTTGTTCCTTGAAATGATTCAGACAACAAAAATAAAACACCATGGAACACAGTTTGTTCCCTCTCTTCCAGAACTTTCATCTCAATTTCTTATTCTACTGTTATCTACCACAAAGGTTTCATACTTTGGATCACAAAAATACCTGTAATTCTTTGGCGGAGAGGTCAAGTTCTCTGCGGACAAGAACTTGACGAATCACATAAAAAGTACCAACCCCGAGCAAACCAAGTAGTAACAACAAGTAAGAAAGCTGGATACTTAGTTCAAACAACTCTCCAACTTCATAAACCGGTTCAGGCTTAAAGCTCTCCGCTGCAGCTGCTTGGTTAGCAGAGATGATCAACAAGCTCTGACCCAGCAAGAAAGTAGTTTCCTTTATGCGTAGATTCTTCTTCAACGAAGCTTTGTTCAAAACAGGTAAGCCTCTAGCAGCGAATTCTGCAGGTAAGTTGATCCTTCCATGTATCTGAAACCCTAAAATGACTGAGATTATCTCAACTGTGAATTAGGAGGAGACGGTGGAAAGAGAGCAACGTGGGAGTGTTTACCTGAAGAGGAATTGTTTTGGGGGAGAGCTTGAGTGAAGGGAGGAGAAGAGGATGAATGGGAGGAGAAGATGAAGATATAGTGTGAAGAAGCATCTTTGATCCGATCATTAAGGTCTCTGAAAATCGCGGTGAAGTTCTGGAATCGACGAGTGTGTGAGAGCTCAGAGATAAAAGAAAGGAGAAGAAGATAAGGCCCACGTTGCTCTTCGGGTTTTCCGTTTATACCCTTCCTGATTCTTGTTTTTCTATTTATTCATGAGTATTAAAATAGTTTTTGTTAATTAAAAAGGTACTTATGAATTTTAATGTTTGGACTGATATCAATTAGACAGACCAGGAAGAGATCATCTACACTTAAAAAAAGTAAGTAAAAATCGTCATCAATTGTGCTGTTTTGTCCATGTTTTTTTTTTGAAAGTTAATATATTTCGTGGTTTTATTTAAATAACAGTACAATATTTTCTTTTATTAACAAATGATACATGTTTGATCTCAGTAAAAAAAAAGGTTGGGAATTCATCTTACATTTGATTTATGAATTCTTCAGAAACATTTCGCAACCTCAACAAATAACTAAGAAACTCCACCAAAGTTTTTTCATATAGTTTTAAATGTTCGCATTTTTATAATATATATAGGAAACAAGCTAAAATGTGATATTTTTTGCAAAAAAAAGTGTCCCAAACTTATCATGCTTTGTGAAAAATTTGTGAAATAAGTAATCAAATTAATGATTATCGAGTTGTTTTAGGTCACTATATATACTTTGTAGATTATTTTTTTGTTTAAATATACTTTGTAGATTATGAGGTCCCGAAACAGTGAAGAGTAACAATGAAGCCTTGAAGGTGACAACATGTAAAATATACTCCAACTTAAAACTCAGTTACAGAAAAAGGAAGATATTGGGTTAGGTGAAATACAAACCATTCCCAAGAAGATCAGTTTCCTTTCTTCTCTTTATGTAGAATTTTCAGTAACACTAATGTTTTATGAGAGAAACAGAGCCAATCAAGCACTGTTAAAACTTAATGAAATCCCATAGCTCCAGTTTTGAAAGCTGGAGCATCCGGTGGTGGCGACGGCAGCACCGTTAAAGCCAATATGCCACTCACCGCAGCTGCAATTGCACCTAACACAAATGCTGGAATGTTTCCACCACCAAAGATTTCATCAAATGGTCCACCTCCCACAGATACCACCATCTACGTTTTAATTGGACAAAAACATTTATTAGTATCATAACATTTATTTTCTAATTAAATAGAAACAACTGCTTTCAAACTGTTTTTACCTGTGGGACGACAATAGCCAGATTCAGTACACCTAGAGAAAGTCCTGTTGGAATGATGGATACAAATCTTTAGTTTGACATTTTCATAAAGATTTTGTAATTCATCGTTTGTAAATATATATATTTAATACTTTATCCGTGACTTATAGAATCATCTCAATAAGTTATAAATAAATTACGAATCTGTACGTATTAAATGCCTATAGCTTTTTTAGGTCCCAACACTTTTCGAAGAGTGTAGACTTGCATTATCCAAAACAAAAAGGGCAATTTAATTAAATTAATTTGAAACTCAAATTACAAAATTTACCTTGGCCGGCACCGGAATTGGTTGAAAATATGGAAGCTAGTGCAAAAGGAATACTGAACGTAATCTGCAATTAGTTAAAATTGAAAAAAATGTCAAAATTACGTTATTAATTAATTTTTTATATAATAAAATAATTATTATCAAACGGACACAATTCCTTTTTTCTGTAAAATAACCAAATAAAAATAAACAAAAACAGAGTGAAACTCACCGCTTGAGGAATACCGAGAACAGCAAAGAGAGTTAAAGCACCAGCTGTAACGTTACCAGGCGGTCCTGTTTTAGCACCACCGTGATCTCTCCGATGATTCTCCGCCTGCTTGGTCACAAGAACCGTCATGGCCAAGCAAATAGCAAGAATGAAGTTAACAACACCCCAAAGCCGTTTAGCTCCTCCCATTTTCCGACCAACCCATTCAACACCAAGAGACATGAACCCAAGAACTATCGCATTAAGCATAAGCCCCAACGCACCAGCTCTAACACCATCATTGTAAAGCTTTTTAGCGGTTGCACTTGCGGTTGCGTCTGAGTTTCCTCCATACACCTCACGGCCCATCCAATCAGTGTCGAATAAAAGGAAAGGGAACCAAGCGATCCAGTTTAGTGCAGTAACTATAAGAAGCATCCACATCGGTCTTTTCAGCTCCTTGAACGCTCCAAAGATCTCTCCGAAAAACGGAACGTTCGCGGCTTTCCCGTCTGCGGTTGGCTCAGGCGTCCATGGCTTCTCCTTCACGTAACAAAGAGACACGAACGTGACTAACACAAGAAGCGTTATGGAGAGGAAGAAACACGTTTTCAGGTTCGCACAGTATAAGTCGCACGACTCAGTCATCGTGAATGGGACAACTTTGTAGAGATCCCTGTAAGAACCCGCCGCGTAACCCAAAACGTTTCCAACCGCCATGAAAAACGAGAAAAACGCGTTTGCGGTCCGCGTTTTCTTCGCGTTTCCCGCGGAAAGATCGGCCAAGAAAGCTCGGCATGGTCCTTGGAGAGTGTTGTTAGCCACGTCCAGTATCCAAAACCCGAGAGCGAAAATCGCGATGGCTCGCGTTCTAGGCGGTTTGTTGAGCTCATCACCCATGCTGTGACCTAAGTCAGCGGCGTAACCGATGAGGAACACGGCGATGGTGACTAAACCGGCTCCGGCGACGATGAAAGGACGACGACGGCCGAATCTTGAGGTGCAACGGTCACTGTGGTAACCGACGATGGGCTGAACAAGCATGCCGGAGATTGGGCCGCAGAGCCATATCAGAGAGGCCCATTTATGTGGGATTCCGAGTAGCTGCACGTAAGGAGTGAGCAGAGATAGTTGTAAAGCCCAGCCGAACTGTACACCGGCGGCTATGGAAGACACCGATATGATTTTTCGAAGGGCAGCTGGCTGATCAAGCTCAGACGTCTGCGTCTCCAGCGCAGACGCACCGTTTGAAGGTTTCTGACTGACCATGTTTCTTGATCAGATTTAGACAAAAAGAAACTTTGTTTTGTTTTGTTTTGTTTTTTTAACAGTGGTGGTTTTTGGTGGTGGAGAAAGAGGGAGATTGAAGAGGTATTTATAGGAAGAGAAGGATAGGATTATCCGAAGAGGAGACAAGTTAAAAGTATTTCTATTGGTGAGATACTCATCCAATATCTAGTTTAATATCATCTATAAATTTAGTATAGTTATGTTTGCTAAATTTTAGGTTATGAATAAAATTAAAGTATTTTGATAAATATATATACCATAAGATTGTTTAATGGGATTTTGAAATTTCTTATATTTAAAAAACTCGTTTATGTTCTTTTATTTTTTTAATTATAGTATAATTTATCGAGATGATGTTTTTAATGCAGATGATCTACGACTTATACACTTTGAGGCATAAAAAAAAAAAGAAAAAGAAGAGCTGCTCTTTAGAGTAGGGTACAGCATTGACATATGTCGTTCTTACATTAAATTCTGGTTTTATTTTTATAATTGTTTTTTCTTCTTTTTCGGGTACTGTTATGGGCGGTTGAATGCATGAATAACATGCACCAGAAAAAGAGTAATGTTTGAATACTCATCGATGGATGTTAGAGAGGTCTCATCTATACTCTTGACCTCCGGTTGATAGCGGATGGTATCGAAAAGCTCCTACAATCATTTGAATCGTGGTTATTGAGAACCAAAAACATACGGCGACTGAAATTGCAAAAAGTGTCATTCTTAATTAGACAAAGCTTCGAATCCTACATTGCATGGGAGGGTCCGGCTTGGCTCCAACATCGAATTTCTCAAGACACTTCTCCTGGAGGGTTGATCCATCTTTCAAGTTCTGGCTTGTGACAACTTTTTTATAGCATTGGTCCTTTGTCTCCTTCATCTTTCAGCTGAGGCCTGCTCCTAATTATGTTTGTTGGTATCTACTGATATCTCATTCTTTTGTTTTATGTTTTTCTCTTCCTCTGTTGGTTCTCCAACTCTGTGGTAACTTTGTTTTGGTCTTTGAAACTTGTGGGTGAAATTTAAGAGTTAAAAGCTTCATATTAGTTTATGTTTTTGGTACTTAACTGGTACTATGTATCTACTACTGATAAGGACCTTCGATTTTCTTTGACAATTTATTTTCTTTTTACCCTTTTAGTTACTTTTGATAAACTGAAAGTTCGGATCGGAAAAGGCGGAAATAATATGTAAGGGCATATACTATGTTGATAGATATATTCGAATTGTATTTATTTGGGATTTTTTTAAATTAGGTAAAGAACAAAAAAAGGAATATAGCTTTCGAATTTCGGTCCGAGCGAGTGGCACTGGAATAAGTTTCGGCGTTACATTATTTTTTGTAAAATATTATTTTTAATTTTCAGACGTAAATAAGATATCATAGACATATAAGTATTTCTATTGTATTTCAAGCAATTGGAAAACAATAGAAAGAATAAATTTAAACATCTTTTTTTTTGGTAATATTTAGATGAAGTGATTATTGTTTTTGACGGCTTTGTAACTGGAATTTCATCTCTTCTACTGTTCATTTATACCTCATGATACAAATAAGAGATAATTTGCTCACATATCCTTTTTGGATCCTTAATTAGGTAAATACACATGATGTGATTAATTAAATATAGTGACCAAAATGCCTCTCGCTTCTCTCTCATTTTACTTTCATCACTTTCTCTCTCCTGACACTCTCTTCCTGACACTTTCTCTCTTTCATTCGATTTCATTTTTTCCCCATTTTCAAACTCCCTTATCATTTTTTCTTCTAAATATTTTTTTCACTCATTCAAATATATATATATATATATATATATATATTTATTTATTTCCTATGTGGTTTTAAAGAATAACTTTGATTTTTTATTTTTACTCACTGTGATAGAAAAATTAAAAATTCTACATTATCTATTTGTTAACAGAGACATTAACTGTTAACCAATTTTGTAGACATTAACATATGTGTTAACTGTTAACAAATATATGTATCAGTTGTGTTAACAGAGACATTAACTGTTAACAAA